CGGCGCTGGACCCGAGATCGCTGCAAGGGCGGAGACCGCACTTTCCCCGCCCCAGAGGGGCAGCTGCGCCTCGGATCCTGCGGGCGCTCGGCTCACTTAGCTTGGCAAACTCTGGCCTCGATCTCTGCACCGCTTGGCTCCCCTGTGCTCTGCCCGGCGTCGGCCAGGTCGTTGGATCACCTGCGCAATTCCTCCTTGTCGTTCCAGGGTTCTGTCTTGTTAATGCCTGGGAGTCTGCGTTTTAACAGTCTCCCCGCGTGATCGCGACGCAAACCCAGTTTTTGAGAACGATCGTTAGTGCGTCTGTGCAACAGTTGCAGGTGTTTGCGTGCCAGACACTTCCTGGCAACGGCAAACTGCGTGATTACAATTTTTGTGCTTACTCCTCTCTGGTCCTGGCTTTCGTCCAGGATAGGAATGCCTAGGCATTGTTTTAGGCACTGGAAGAGACAGAAGTAGCATCAGACGGAACTGCCCTCTTGATCTTGTGTAACTATTAGTGACAATCCGAAAGTAAAGGAGCTAACTAAAATTAACTATGTTGGTGAGGAGGGCTGAAAAGAAAGGAGAAACCATTTGGGAAAGGAAAATGGGTGTAGAGGAGGCTGTGAAATTTAGATACGGTGACCAAGGGAAGCTTCCCTGAGAATTACTGCGGAGCATTACTGCCAGTGTTCGCCAAATCAGCGCTGATTTATCAAGTATCTTGTGATTGCCAAACCCTCTTCGCTCTCACCGAGCTACATCCTCAGCCCTGTTTCTTATTTTCTTTGTTTTGAAACTAAGCTGTCCAGGCTAAGGTTGAGCTTTGGATCTTCCTCAGTCGTAGTGCAAGTAGAAATCTTGGGCCTTTGCTGTCTTGTGGGGTGAGGAATGGGCACGATCATTTGGAGAAGATTTTTGCGGTCTGGATTAGGTTTGCTAGTATAAAGTTTGAGAGATTGGGGCCAAGAACATTTGAAAATGAAGAAGAGGTGTATCTGAAATAGGAATTACTTGATTTTCAACTGTTCTCTTGGGCTCTAACTAGTCTCCCTGCGTCCTGTAGCTCTACATTTCTCCTGTCCCTCTCTTCATCTCAGTTTAGCTTTCGTTCCTGTCTGATGCGGTCTTTTCCTTTCTGGGCGTGGGCTTTCTCTTGACTGCCTGCTCTTCCCTGCTTGTCCAGCTGGCAGTAGGATTGGTTCTCTTCTGCTCTCCCTGCTTCCAGCATTTTGCTATGGTAGCGGTCTATCCATCCCATTATTTCATCAGAGGGCAAAAAAAACCAAACCAAAACAAAAACAGTCAGCCTATAAGTCTTAGCTACAAGGCAGGGAGTCAGGGAGTTAAGGAAAAACTCAGTGTCTGAAGGTAGTTTGTATTTTATAGGTTCCGGTGCACGAAGACTCTGATGACTCAGAAGTGGAAAATGAAGCAAAAGATAATTTCCCCCCTCAGAAGAAGCCAGTTTGGGTGGATGAGGAAGATGAAGATGAAGAAATGTAAGTTACCTTTCAGAATTCCTGTGGGTATTTTTAAAATAATTTTGCAGGTTTTAAAATTATTTTTATAAACAATGTGATCATGTGATGATTGGGACTTCCGGAAGTATGGAAAAGAGGAGGTTATTCATAACTGCTTTGTGGAGGGAGGGAGGGTAGCCCCCATCCGGTGCGCTCCTAAGTCTACAGTGTGGGCTGCGTGGTCAGCTGAGCCTTAATTGGCCTCAGTCAAAGTGACCCTGGACAAGTTGGGCAGGTACCTGTTTTCATTTGTAGAGGGAGCAAAATCTGCCGTAGTAAATGTTCCAGAAGGCTGGGAACTTTTTAATGTGGTATTGTGAACCTCCACAAAGAAAGCTAGCGCGTATACTGTGTTGTTTCATAGACGAGAATGTACTTCTTGCTTAATGTTTTGAGTGTTTTGTGTAAAGTTACATTGCAAGTATTTCTTAAAAAAAAAACAAACTAGTTTTAAATAGCTGTTGTATGAATCAACCATAATTTATATAGCTATTGTAAGATTCATTTTTGGTTGTTATTGTTTGTTTTTTGAGACAGGGTCTCACTATGTAGCAGACTGGTCTCAAACTCATACTGATCCTCCTGCCTCAGCCTACTGAGTGCTGGGATTACGGGCATGCACACCATGCCTGGCTAAGATTCATGTTTTATAGTAAATTAATATTGAGATAAACATCTTTCTGAATAAGGTTTTGTTTTTTTTTTTTTTTGCTTTTCAAATTAATCTTGTGAGAGAATTATTTAGAGCACCGCTAATTGTGAGGCTCTTGATGAATGCTGCTAGACTACATCTACCAGTTTCCCGTGTCCTTGCAAGGTCTTGTAGGAATCCAGGTTCTTAGATGTTTGCTTGTTTTTTTTGGTACCTGGATCAAACTCAGGATCTTTCGTCTTGCGATTGCAGAGCAGGCGGCGGAACCACTCAGCCAAATTCCCAGCCCCCACATGTTGGTTTATTTATGTGAGTTTAATGGTGGGAAATGAGAAAATAGTATTCATGCTTGGTATTTCTTGTAAGTCTCTGTTTATTGGAGACTGTTTCTTACTCTTAGTATGTCAAGTTTTTTGCACGTTAAAAATTTCAGATTATTGTGTGTCATTTAATACATGTTTTCCCCAGCTTTCTATGCATAGTTTTAAATTTTAGATCGTTAAATCTGTGGCTTTTTTCCTTTTGGTACAGGGGATCAAATTCAGGACCTTGCACTTGCTGAGCAGGTGCAGCTCCACTGAGCTACATCCATGGCTTTTTTTTTTTTTTTTTTTTTTTTTTGAGACAGGGTCTCACTATCTATATCTAGTTCAGATATCCTGGAACTCACTGTAGCCCAGGCTGGTCTCGAACTCGCAGCAATCCTCCTGCCTCAGCCTCCCGAGTGCTGGGATTATAGCCTTCCTTCAGTTTTAGTGTTAACAGGGAAATGTTCTTTATCTGAGAGACAAGTGTTTACCTTTATTTTTCTTAAATAGTATTTTCAGGTTTACTCTTTTTAAATTTAATTCTTTGAGTTACTTGGGATTTATTTTGAAGAATGTCATAAAGTATACATGTCTAGGTAACTCATGGTGTGAGTTTTCCAAAATGCTAGCTCTCTCTAAAGTGTTACCTCCACAGCAGGAAGAATGGAGATTATGCAGTTGTGATGTTCTATATCTTACAATTCTTGACCTAATTGTTACAGTCATGCTTTGTCAGAATACTAAAGGCAGCACCAATTTATGACGATCCTAAAGATCATTCAGTATATATTGTTTTGTATTTCACAGGGTTGACATGAGGAACAACCGGTTTCGGAAAGATATGATGAAAAATGCCAGTGAAAGTAAGCTTTCAAAAAAGAAGCTTCAGAAGAGACTTAAAGAAGAGTAAGTGTCCTTGTTCCTGTGAGTTACTGGGAGCTTCATTCCCAAGAGTGGACTTGGGTTTGCTCCATATTTGGCTGCAGCAGCTTCTTTTTTTTTTTTTTTAACTTTTTGCAGCAGCTTCTTGGGTGGTCCCATTTCTAATCCAATGGCGGAAACATTGCTATGGGATACAGTGACTCCAGGCCAGTAGTTGGGGAGCAGGAATATAGCAAACGCAAAGAAAAGTATTAAAAAAACTTGAAATGCCATCCAAATATCTAATTTGTGAAAATAATTTTTATATAGTTCAGTTTTCTGCTTGTGTATGGCTTAGTTTGGTAGGCTAATTTGCACTTCTGCATTAAAAGCTTACAGTAGCTCTTCGCCCTCTTCTAACTATCAGTCCCTTAGAACACATGTGCCTCACGCCCTCCCTCTTGGAACTGAGTCTCCAGCCTAGACCTTACGCGTGCTAGGCAAGTGCTCTGTCTGAACTACATGTTTGGCCCTCTTTGATTTGAGATAAGGTTTGCTGAGTTGCTCAGTCTGGCTTTGAACTTGCACTCCTCTTGCCTTAGCCTACCTGGGATTTCAGGTGTGCACCACTGTACCCCTATGGTATTTGTCTTAAAATTTACTCTTTCCTGGACTGGGGATGTAGCTCAGTGATTCCACCGCCTGCTTC